TTTATTTCAAAATTGAAGTTGTCATATGACAAATATTCAGTGGACAAAGTTTGAACAAAAATCTATTGTCACTTTTATTTCAGAGGAATTACCTTAATGAAACCCCTGAGTCCCTGGTGATGATGAAGAAAACTGTTTGTTGTTTTAAGTTTGGTTTGAGGCACATTTGATCAACCATAGCTAAACGATGACTTTCAAGTATAAAGGTATTTTATGAAACTGTAGTGCAGCTTTACAATACAGCAGCATTTTACACACGATATCAGAACATTAGTTTTTAGTTAACTCTTGGTAAATGCGCACAGCTAGCCCATTATGGAGTAAGGCTTTGCAATATGCATGCCATGACACTCAAAAGCTCACCTTGAAAGTTGTTGCATGTTGCACCATTTAAACAAGGTTGGCCAGAGCAGTAATCAATGTTAACATTACACCGTTGACCAGTTGTTCCAACAGGACAAACACATTGATAACTGTTAATTCCATCAACACATTGTTCAAACTGTTGACAAGGGTTTACTGAGCAATCATCAATGTTCTGTTCACAGTTTAGCCCAGTGAAGCCAGTGACACATGTGCAGTTATAGCTGAAAGGAATTTAATTTCTGATGAGTAAGTAAAGACAAAATTATTGTAAGTTGAAGGTTTCACACCCAATTAAGTTTTCAAGTTCACACTGAGAAGTCAACTGAGTTTGCCCCAGCATTCACTCTTGAAATCGCACTCAGACTGAGAAATAGTCTGTGTTTGCACTCTCCAGTCATCCAATAGCTTATAAATTGGAGTCTGGTGAACTTAATTACAATCTATAACAATCAACAGATTTAACTTGCATGAAAATACACTAAGTTGATGACCTCCAAAAAAGAGTGGCAGTCACACTTGGATAGTGCAAACTGGATTGGGTGCGAAACCTCCTACCCCTAAAGAAGAGACAGACTGCAATAACTCTACATGTCTTGCTGAAGATGGCTAAAAGTAAAAGCAATTTATTAATGACTTCAATGAGATTTAAAGCCATGACCCGGGGCCACTAGTATGACGCATGATGCTCTAGTTACAGATGGAAAACAACGTACATCATATACCTACTGTAGTATCACAGGCATGCAATGCATGCATAGGGCTCAAAGCAAGGTTGTCACCAAGTTCAAGTATTTGTCAAAGTAGGCAGCTGATTTTGCAAACTTTTCATAAGAATATTGGAATAACAACCTAGCAGAGTAGCCAGGTGAGACCATGTAAGTAAACAGTTTTTTGGGTTTTTTTTTTGACAACCCAGCTTAAAGTGCAAGAAGCCACACCATGCATGCAAGTTTGTAGACTACATGTACATCTCTTTGCCCACATTCCTGACCTATGATATTTGGTAACCAATACACCAGTAATGCTCATTGCTTACCCCAAGATATTTTCCACACAAGTTGCACCATTCTGACAAGGGCTGCCGTCACACTTTGTAACTGTTACATTACAGTAAGGTCCAGAAAAACCAGGTGTGCACTGACAGCTATAACCATCAATGCTGTCAACACAGGTACCACCATTATGACAGGGAAGAGCTGTCTGGTTACACTCATTTATGTTTGTCTCACAATGGATTCCTAAGAAAATAAAACAACAATAAATTAACTTGAAACCATTAGAAACATAACTGGGCAGGAGAAGGGGGGTGGGAGTAGGGGTGCATTTGGCCTAAAATTCCCCTGTAACCCATTTTTAATTAATGATCCTGGGATGAGTCACCTGTACTGAATGTATAAAAATAAAATCAAAAATAAATTTTACAATATTTAGAGAAGAAGCCTCATCAGCCTTAGCTGGCTTTATACAGGTCCTCTATCCCAGTCAAATTGGAATTTGGAGATTTTGGTTTTTGTGGAGATAGACTAAGAGAGGAAAACCGGAGAACCCAGAGAAAAGGCTTGGAGCAAAGCAAGAACCAACAACAAACTCACCCCACATATGGTACTGGGTCAGAATCGAACACAGGCCACGTTGGTGGGAGGTGAGTGCTCTCATCACTGTGCTATGTTCCTGCTCCCCAGCCAATGACTGACCCAAGGACACAACACAACACAACAACCACATCGAAGGACTCAGGACAAGGGGTTTCAGATTACAAGTATCACTTTCATTTGCGTTGAAAAAAATAGTAACAATGAAGGAGTTTGGAGTTGCAATATTGATATTTTCAAAAGAATTACCATTACTCACCAGTAAATCCAGCATGACAAATACACTTATAACCTCCAGTCTGAAATCTTTGACACACAGCATTGTTCTGACACAGGTTAAAATGACAAATGTTTATCACAGCCTCGCATCTCTTCCCTGAATGTGATTCAAAGGGATGGTGTAAAAGAAGAAGCACGATCGCAACAAAATCATTCAGACACAATGTAACATTAAATAATTAAACACAAAATTGAGGTTACTAGCTCTGCTGCAAACATACACTGATCACTTGACATATTATACAGGCAGTGCACATGAAAAACTTGATCGGAGGAAGAGAAGGAATGCTAGAACGTTCTGTCCTTTGGTTGCCCAACTGGCAAGTGAAGTTTATTGGGGAAGGTTTATGATGATCGGACATTCAAATCACAGATTCTGATGTACTTTTAGTGTGCTTAAAGAGATGATGTTATCTGGAGCCTTACAGTAAGAATGACTTTCAGGCTGCCCAGTACCTTAAGGAGTGTAATTCTTATTATTCCTTGCCCGAAATTTGTTTTCTTTGTGTTCCAACTATTAGTGGTATTGGGAAATTCTCCGAAAATTTTTTGACTGTTTCTAAAGGTGAGCGCAATTTGAAAGAATTTTCAAATATCACAAAATATGTAAATCTTTAATTGCTATTATGAACTTACATGCACATATGATTACCCATATGATATATTAATAACAGGACTGAGAAAATTACAAATGTACAGGTCTGTATCAATTTGCATTGAAGTGCAAACAAAAAATCAAATTGGCCTGTTTTTAGCTGAATACAATAAAGACATACAGTAAAACAATTCATATTAAATAACAAAATAAATAAAAATAGAGATGGTATGGGATGGAAAGGAAACAGATCATTTTCTTTCTTTCTTTTCACCCTTCCTTTCCCTCTTCCATCATTTCCCATTCTTCCATTTTTATTTCCTGCTTAGCTTTCGTCCTTTCTTTTATCTTGCCTCTCACCCATCTTTTTCCCTATATTCCTTCCAACCCTTCTCTTTTGATTCAGCATTTAGAATTAGGATACAACACTAAATATGAGAAATCTCTTTGCTGGCACAGTGTATTATATGGTCATATATGATGTTGCTCTCAGGAACTGATTGGAACTGACTGTATGGCTTGTGACTTATTGCTTTTAAAATAACCATATCATTAATATTGGCAGCGTGTTGATCTAGTCTTACCTGTGAACCCAGAGGGGCAGTGACAGGTGTAGTTATTACCTCCACTCTCAGTGCAGGTTCCATTAAAGTAACATGGATTGGACGTACACTGCTGACCAGCTACAGTACACAAACCTGCAGAATTGTGTATAAAATAGTTTAAATATTTTCTCATTATATGACCTGTGATGACCCAATACTGTACATCCATTTAGTTCTGACAAATCAGTTCTTTACATGTCTGATTTGTTTGTTAGCATGACTTGCTCTTAACTTCTTACATCTTTGATAGTAAGTAGCCTTCATTGCAGGCATAAACAGGGAGGGGGTAGGGAAGAAAAAATGCAAGGAAGAAGGGGACACAACCTAGGATCACATATGCATGTGTATGCCCATGGTACAGAAAGGGTTATTTTAAAGGTCCACGGACATCTTGAGTCACCAAGCAACTTTAATGATGAAAACTACGGACCCAATCAATTCTAACAGGATTCCTTCCTAAACTTTCAGTATTCTTGAACATGCTTGTTGCGCTTGCCTCAACTCAGAGCTAAAGCACAAGAGAGAGGTGGGGACAGCCGTAAGGTGCAAATTACAAGGATTCAGCCAGGCTGAAATTATGAACTGCAAAACCTATGGAACCCTGCAATTACAAGCCCCATCACAACAAAAGATATTGCCAGTCCCTTGGCATTTCGTTACATCAGGCTTGCACTGCATTATAAACTTAGTACATAATTTGATGCCTTTGATTAGGGGTTGCTGGGGAACTTTACGGTATTAATTTGATATATGGTGTAAAACATTTCATCTATTAAATAATTAACTAATTGAGTCGGATAAAAAACTTAAACATACCAGCAATGATAACAACCAAGAAGATCCACAGAAAGTCAGACATTATAATCTTGTCTTTGATCATCTATCCATTTAGAATCTTTGCATTTAAATTCCACAACAGTTACATATAGTTTGGAAGGTCACATTCGCGTCGTTTTGAATGGCTGACTATAATGGAAACATCCTTTAGATACCCTGACATAACAGGAAGGAGAATTAGGAACACACACTATCTCATGGACGTATGCACGCGCGCGATGAATTACAGGGTGACAAATAGCAGCACAAAATCATGCAAGAAGAACGTAATCTCGCGCAGACTTGCGTTCATAGATTTTTTTCTTCTGTATTTCAGGGGCCGTTCCTCAAGGTATTTAGGACACCTTGTGTGGAACTTAATAAATTCAAAATGCGGTTAACTTACCTGTTTGTTCTCAGCTAGCTACAAACACTTTGAAATATAAGCTTACTCTCCATTAATAGAGATACGTTTAACTAATAGACTCTGATACTGTGTTACAGTTATAAAGCGACACCAGGAAACTTTTAGTAAAGCTACATTCAGTTTCATCAATTCATTTCATCATTCAGTTTCATCAATTCATCAGACAGAAAGCGTCTTAACCCGGCTTTGATTCCGTTGAAAAAGTCACTCAAACAAGAATAGAATCGAACATCTTCATGACACTTACCTCGCTAAAATCCACACGACCGAAACCAATCGCACCCGATCGTACCGCAATCCATGCTGAAGCGAACAACGGCGAAATGTGTCACTGTGAAGTTTCCCAAATTCAAATTTATCGTGTGCAATACTCGGTCGAACAGCTGCCTCGAGAGTTTTCAACCAAATTGCCTCAATATTCGACAACTCAATTTTGTATGCAAACTTTCAGCGAGTTTCTATGCCAGCACAAGATCGAGCTAGATCGAGGCTATTTCATCGTTATTTCTGGAACACCTGACCACCAATCAGAAACTATCATGGAGACCCGCTTCCGTGTAAATGTGCAAACAAAGAATCCCGAGACGAGACGAATCCGGTGCGAGACGACTGGGAACGAGTCAAATTTTGCCGGAATCGTGCTACGCCCCCGGGTAAATTTTAACCCCCTCCCCCTCCCCAAAATATGAACTTAAAAGTATCCTGCTCTCCGTCAATTTCATTCAAAGTAAATGAAGGATGTAAGGGAATTCAACAGAAAAAGAGACAAGAACTCCTTGACTCCAGACAGGTCAACGATTTTGGCAAGAAAATATAGTGCAAAGCATGAATGAAAGCAATCCTTGAGCTACCATAGATGGAGAAACTTTGCTTCTAGAATCCACACGGGAAAAGTTCTAGACTTTCTAAGGTAGTATTACGGCTGTAGGAAGTCCCGACACAAAGGGTGAGCTCCCTTACCTCTTCCTGGTTCTTTCTGGTCTAGTTCTGGCCATCTCTCTGTCACGCAACCCGAGAGCGCAGCGTTACGTGACAGAGAAAGGATCCTCTTCCTCGTGCTTTTTGCGCGTCCCGGACCCGTCCCGGACATTTTTACGCTGTGAGCTCAGCTTTTGCTGACTTGCGCGAGATGAGGGCCCAGAGAGGAGACACCCTGGTAACGAGGTTGCCGATCTACAGTACGTATTTTAGCTGGAACACGAATTGGCCAAGCAGAAGACTGATTTCGGAAGGAACTCCCTTCAAACTTAAACATTTTGGGCTATTTTCGTAGACCACAAAAATAAGTGTAACACTTCTGAACAGAGAGCTTTGTTTATTATGCCCGATTAAACCCCTTTCATATTATCCTTACAATTATTTTACATTATATCGAGGGTATTTCCAGTTTAATTTGTGCTAACAAATATATTAGTTTCCAAAGGAAGTCGCAAATAAAACAGAAAAAAAAAACAACAACAGCAGTCTGAACTCAACAAATATATCAACAAAGGTCACTGTCCTTTGTCTGCCATGCTGTATTTACAAAACATGTGACAACCAAATGTACAAGTACCCGCCTCTGAAAAAAACAATTCATTTTCGAATAGAATTAAAAAATCAAACACAAAAGTGAGTTCTTAGCTCCAAGCTCAAGCAAATCCAAAGATAATTTTATCAATAGTCACCATTTAGGCTACCATTAAGAACTGCGACTGAACTAATTCTTACAACTGATCTTTGAAGCTTGCGAAATGAAAATTCGCCCTTCTAAGTTACACCCTGCCAGAGTTACGTGTTTTTTCGCCCATTTTTCAGCCACGCAAATATGTCGTCTAGGACGAAAAGAGATTCGCTTCTACTTCAAACCTGGTTCCCAGAGTATCTCCTGAATTGAGAACCAGCGGATTAAAAAGACCCTGGAAACAAGTTTATCACATTGCTTGATAATTCAAATAAACCCGATCCAGATGCAATCCTTTATTGCCCGATAATGATTTGGTCAAGACGAGATAAAATAATAATACTAGGATAAGACTTTGTTTTTCCATATTCCCTGCTCTTGTTTTCTTTTCCGATTGAATCTGACAATAAACACTTAATGACGGGTCCTAAGGGAAACAGTTAATCCTGTTTCCCAAGAAACTTAACAAAAAGGTTTCCAATTGACAACAGGCTGGCCGGTTTGAATCCTGCTGGGAGATCCCCAAACAGCTTGTATGCCTAACTGGATAACACCTTCCTCAACAGCAGATAATTATTACACTCAAGACCTTTCACAAAAACAAACGAACATTTCAATAGCTACAATTCTCTAAAAACAGATCAGTTACACTATCGGAAATGAACATAGAGGGCCAGGATAACAAATAATAGCAGTTCAACGAAAACTTAGATGACTAGGACTTATCAGACATCTCATTTATTTCCAGTCGGGGAAACAAGCGCAGTTTTGAAATTAAAATCTTCGTTGAAGTACTCATTAAGCTTTCGATTTTTATTATGGATTCAAAAACTAGCACGAGCTAGTGGTTCGACCACTTGCTTTCCAATTTGGAGACGAAAGCTAAAACCCCAGTCCAGTCGCAAAGACTGTAATTCTTCATCAACTGGCAATTGTTTCCCCGACTGTTTTAGGTGACAAGACTATGAACAACTCGCAAAACTTAATCACTTCCCAGCATCCTTGACCAAACTAATTCTCTTGAACCATGATTTACTTTCACCAGCCGCGGCTTCAATGGCCGCGAGCCTGTGCTCCAAGTCCTGGGAACGACACTCGGATTCCACCAGGGAAAGCTTGGTCTGCGCCAGCTCTAGTTCCAGTTCTCTGAGACGCTGCTCGGAGTCCACCACCTTGACACTTGTCTTGAAGGTAGCAGTCTGGTCTCCATCTAGCGACACGTAACCTTCCTCTGAGAAGAGAGCAGCGCAGTTTTCGCACGATCCTACGCGTCTCTGAAAAAGAAAATGGTGAGTGGCTATTTGTCTCGGTTCAAAAGGGTGACTGGCATCTGTTCAACCTGAATAAGCCCGGCATAGTTAATCGAACGTCCGGAAATCGAACTCAAACGAGCCCATTCGAACTTAATCCGTGGATTGAGTTCGACTGAGTTCGGCAATCGAACCAAATCAAAAACCGAACTTCGTGTGAGTTCGATTTCCGAACTAATCGAACTCGATCGCACCAATCCAACCGAATCGAACTCAATCCATAAAATTGTGTCCGATTGGGTTCGTCAACCGAACTCAATCGAACACAATCCAATGAATTGCGTTTGATTGTGTTCGGTGAGTAAATCCGCTTGAACAAAATAAGGTTTATGTTATATGGTCTCGAAAACACGAAAAACACGTGTTATACTGAAGTAACTCGAGCCTCCAAAAACTTGTTATTGATTTTCAACATCAGTTTTACAAAAAAACCAAGAGTTCCGAAATCAAAACTTCGATTAAGTTCGATTGTCCAATTATTTTTATGTGAGTTCAATTTGGTTCGATTGCCGATCCAATGGATTGCGTTCGATTGTGTCCGGTGAATATATCCGCTTGAACAAGGATTATGTTATATGGTCTCAAAAACACGAAAAACACTTGTTATACTGAAGAAACTCGAGCCTCGAAAAACTTGTTATTGATTTTCAACACCAGTTTTACAAAAAATCTTAAGTTCAAAAATCAAAAGTTCGATTGTCCAATATATTTGTGTGAGTTCGATTTGGTTCGATTGCCGAAGTCAATCGAACTCAATCCATGAATTGAGTTCGATTTAGTTCGATTGAGTTCGATTGAAATACAGTTCGATTGGGTTCGATTGACTATGTCGGGAATAAGCCACTTTAAAGCTACTATTTCGAAAAAAATTGACAACCGTTTTAAAGACAAACGATAGAACTTCATCTCATCCGATGATAGTGGGGGTGGGGGAGGGAGGGGTGGTCGAATAGCAATTCAAAGGATATTTGTCTTATTAATCACACGGTCAGTGGTCGTTCCGAGTGACCGCTAAAGTCACTTGCGAGACTGTATCGGTCGTAATGAGTTTGACACACAAACGAGGCGAAAGGGTCAATTCTGCTTTGTATTGACCTTTTCGCCTCGTTTGTATGCCTTTTTAAACAAAAGAATATTGGACCGCAGGTTCAACTGTAATGACAGCTATTGACATGAGTGAAACTTTGGCAATGGGAACGAGAGCGAGGCTTCAACGAAGAAAGCACGAAAGAGAGGCAAGGGTTACTTGTGTCAATTATTCCTGCTGTAGAGATCATTTAGAGTTTGCTCGCTAAACGAACGTAACGCCTTCCATGCAGAGCGTCTAAGAGAATTCAAGGTAGAGTACCTTGACTTCCAGAAGCTCCCTCTGTAAATCTTCTTTTAACTTCTCACTTCTTTCGTCCACTCGAGAGCAGATCTACAACACAAAGCAGTCAGTCAGTGACTACATATACAAAACTCGATCAAAGGCCATGTTACTGCTACCTTTTTGTATTCCTCGATGATGGCGGTGTGCCGCTTCCTCTCTTCTTCTGCCACTTCAATGTTCTGCCGCCACATTTCTTTCACCTGCAGAAAATAAGTGGAATTATCATTAGATGGATTTTTTTCCCATTGGCCTAAGGTCCACCACAGCAAATATCTACCTACAAATAATGGTCTGCTCATGCCTATTACGTCTGAACGCGCTTTGCTGCAAATAATATTCTGCTTATGCGTGATTGAAACCACGATCTCGATTGAAAAATGGCAGATCGCTTCCTAGAGCTGTCAGAGGGTGATTTAAATGTGAAAACAAACTTAGCGATCGAATTATACAACAATCATTGAACTCGGTTATCGCAAAATATCGTGATTTATCAGTGTCTCATAGATTAATTATTTGCCGAAGCCGAAGGCTTCGGCAAATAATTGATCTACTCACCACTGACAAATCACGATGTTTTGCTCAGCCTCGTCCAATAATTGTTCATTCACTAATCCCATTTGCCTTAAATTTGCGGTAGCGACGTTCGATTTTACTTGTTTACTTGTTTTTGTTTGTTTGTTTGCTTGTTAGGGTACCTGAACTCCCTCTTCCTTGAACTTTTCTCGCTGGTCCTCTGCTTCAGCCAGTGACACAGTAGTACTGCTAAGAGCCTTGGACAATTCTTCCACCTTCTCCTCTGCCTAACAAACAAAACCACAAGCAACGCAGTGAATCCCAAAATGAAGGCGTGACGGCCTCAAAATTCATATTCTTCGCCGAGTCGAAAAATAAAATTATCAGTCGCACGAACAATTTCCAGTTTCGTAAACCTTCGTAGATATCCGAAGAGCTTCCGATCTTTACTAACCAATCAGAAAACTGCACTCGCGAACACATTCAAGTACACATTTCACAGTATATGAAGCCACTCAAACATACCTCTGCAAGCTTGCTGTGTAATTCCACTTTAGTAGTCACCAGTTCGTGAGCTAGATTATCATTTTCCTGTTCAAGTCTCATGTTGGCTTCAAACAGCCTCTTGTTCTCTCGCTGGTGAGAAAAAAACAGAAAAATAATGAGTAAGGTGCTTTGAATGCAAACAATATTAACGAGAAACACAATGGCGAAAACATGTGAATAAATCTTTATAAAACTAGATAAAACTAAGAAATTGTATCACCCTTACTCCTGGTCTAGGTATTGTCTAGTTCTCACATAAGACACTTAAGGTAATATACCAAACACGATAGACCGTGTTTGACCACATTTCCAAACACCGAGAAGAGAGTATTTTTGACGAACTTCGAGGTGTTTGGAAATGTGGTCAAACACTGTCTTGAGTGTTTGATATGTCTTCTCAATCGAAACTAAAACTAAGGAGAAAACGGAGAATTACAATTGTAAAATTCTATGTTAATTAAGATCACATATCCAAACACCGTCACGGTCATGATCTCCTTTGTTTAAACTTGATAAATTATTAATGAGTTTGAGAAAAATGAAGGAAAGCCGAGGAATTCATACAGGCACTACTAACTCTCTCGCCGATTCGACGAATCTCGCACTTAGAATACGAAATGAGCCATGTGACCATCACGGAACAATAAACAACAATCACATGAGCTCAAGCTATCTAGAACCCAAAGAGAACAACTACAAACATCGAGGAAACGCGTAACGCACACATAACAGCTCAAACCAGTTACCTATTCAACGTAACTGAAGAAATTTAACACTGTGCAATTTACCTGGAGTCTTTCTACCGGATCTTCAAGCTGTGCCTCTTGGTCTTTCTTCAACAAATACTCCTTTTCGTATTTCTTCATTTTTCTGTTGGTCACCTGAAATTTAGACCAGATGGCATTAATGTCTTGCACATTCACCACAGTCACCCCAGCTAATCTCAAGTGACATACATTATTTCCCAAAACTTTCGGACGTTAAAATTTCGGAGATTTTATTTCAGACGTTTAATTTTCAGACACTTTTAATCTCATTTCGGACAAAATTAGGACACTTTGCTGAAACATAGCTTAAGCAAATTTTCACCAACAAAACATGAATTAGACTGATCTGTGAAAATGACAGTTTCACTGCAACCTCAAGGTTTTAGAGATATACCAAGGAGAAAATAACACAAATTCTATCTAGCTGTTACGTATCTTAAGCCGTGTCTCAACTAGAGGTCGCCTCATAAAGGAAACTGAGAGCTTTGGAGCTCCTTAAAAATTTTATACTGTACTGTAAATATTTTGGACGCTTAAAAATTTCGGACGGTTTTATTTTCGGACACTTTTCTGTCCGAAATTAAAATCGTCCGAAATTTTTTTGCAAGTAATGTAAACATACACCACAGTCACCCCAGCTAATCTCAAGTGTCCCAGCCAAGTGTTCTCTTGCGATATCGTGCAACGCCTCAAGAAAAGGTGTATGTTCATGACCGATTCTGTGTGGATTGAAACTACTTGTGGGCAAGGCGTGCTCGGTAACATAGGTGACCAATCAACCCCCTTTAAAAACTTAACATCTAATGTTATTATAATTTGCCTGAAACCTGAAACAAATCATTTATCCTACATATTTATTAACTGTCAACAGAGAGAAAGGATTTCATGCCAACTGGGTGAATAGATAATTTCAAAAGGTTTACTAAGATAAAGAAGAAATCACGTACCCTAAAGCTAAGAGCGGAGTTAATAAGCTTTTTATATTCTTCTTCATCTAAGTACTTTTTTGGCATGGATACTCTGAAATACTTCAGAATATCTTCAAAATCCATTTGGATGAGCTCTCTACGAGATGCCTGTGGGAAATGAAAACAAAATTTCAGCCAATGAAATGATAGTAAATTTACGTTCTATTACTAACTACATGAAACAATCCAGCCTTGTAAGAAATAGGTAATACATAATGTTACTTGAACGAAGATCAAATTTGCGACGAAAACTCAGGTAATCGAGAACAGTGCAAGAAAATTAAACAGCATGATGTTTTACCTTCAAGAGGCCCAAGGCAACTTGAAAAATGACACCCATACCCTAGAAGAAAAAAATCATGAAGAGCAACAGGCTGAATAAAAATGAAATACCACAAAACAGGCTACATTCATGATCGTAACTTTGCGCCTTATTGCATGTTTAGCGTAGGGAGAGTAACTGGCTGTTTACGGCGGAAAACCCTCCCGGATAAATTCTGCATACGAGCCAGGTGGCCCATCAGGCCTACGCTTACCTCCGATTGAAGTAGCATGAAGCGACTAGGAGTAATTCTACCCTCGCCTGGATGGGATGCTAGTCCCGAAATTCGAATGAACATTTTCCGAAAAACTATTATCCAAAAACTGCGGATTTAATTGTTTTTGGAAACAAAATTCTGACTGACAAATGTAAAAAGTACTTGTTCAAACCTGATCAGTAAAAGGGGTAACTTTGGTGCAATTTCTTGTGACTACCTAACGTCCTCTTTGTTTATTATTGTAAACAACCGATTGACTTACATAACAGAGGAAGAGATCCATAATACGGTAGACCATTGGTAAAGGAAACTTGGCTGTAAACAGCGTCAAGAACCACTGCGAGGCATACATGTGGGTCTGGATATCATTGTACTGAAAATGGCTGTGGAGGTCTGGCATCGAATCCTGCAACAAACCAAATATGGTTACCTCGCGTTTATGTCCGTAGTAAATGAGGCACCCTGATGACAAAATAGCCACATAACCAGAAGAAGCCACGAGCCAAGTCCCAGGTTTTCCAGTTTATTGTGAATGTTGACTGATGTCCTTTGCAGTAATATCCCAGCGTCTTCACAGGTTGCACCTATTGCACCAGTTGACCCCAGTTGCCACATCCAGTCATACATCAGCCGGCATCACAATGGAAAGAAGAACTGCAAGATTATGTGTGCCTGGGCCTTGCCAATCAACACAACACGAAGTCTAACAGGTTCAAACTCATGATTTGTCATGCCTTACCTACTTACAACCAGTGCAAAACTGTGTATTGCAAAGAAAAAAAAANAGCTAAATTACTTCTCAGAGAGCACTCACCTCAATCATTCGATCCAGTTGGAAAAACTTCAGGTGCAGCTGTTCAAAATCTTGCTTAAAAATCTCTCTCAGCCCATAGTCACTCATTATCTTCACAAGCAATGCAAAGGCTTGCTCCTCTGGAAGCTACAAATGTAATATTTGATCAGTTTTAGTAATACAGTGCAGCAGATAAATACTTATATGAAAGAAATAATTATTATAGAATAGAGCCAATAGGAAGTGAAAAGAAATTTACATGTAAGAGCAGCACAGCTGATAGGAATGACAGCCCTTGGCAGTAGCCCACTTCTTCATCATAAACAGAATAAGCCTGACAAGAAAAAAATAAGAAGAATTATCATATACGTGTGCCATGGGTATGAGCAAAAATGTGCTCTGGTTGGTTACCTATATGTACTGATAACATATTAAATTATGCCCAAAGGGCACAGATTGTGAAAAACTATAGGGAAAATGAATGCTCCCTTTAAAAAAGACGGCCGTTGGTAAATGAACAGCATTTTAAAGAATCTAGGGCTTGCTTTGTGATGAAGCAACTACTCAGTCTTGTACATGAACGTTTTGCCGGCTTGGTGCTACCAAATATGCCTTACTGGCTACAAAATTATGCTTCATAAAATTACTGAAATTTAATAAACTGTGTACTGAACTACTGACGAGCTTGACAGATAGTTTATTTGTACAACATTTTTACAATTATTTTAATGAGTGGAAAAATGTAAATTCAAGGCTTACTTTGCTGATCTTATACAACATCTCCTGACCCTCCCCTCCGGTGCTCTTAAAATAGTCATGAGCTGGGAAGGTACGGTGAATGTCCCACATGATCACTTGTTCTGTTGGAGATTCCTGACAACAACAAAAAAATAATATGAAATCAAATGAACATACAAGAGGTCTGCAAAAAAATTTAATATTGAACAAATTTATTAATCAACTAATTAAGGTAGTCTGCATACGAGCCAAGTGGCCCATCAGGCTGGAGCTTATCCCGGTTTCTGTAGCATGAAGCAACTAGGAGTATTTCTACTCCCCCCTGGATGGGATACTAGTCCATCACAGGGTTACCCCCAGCATTAAGTTTGCCAATACCCATTTATACACCTGGGTGGAGAGAGGCACTGTGAGAGTCAAGTGTCCTGCCAACCAATTAATCCATCCACTAATCAATCAATCAATCAATCAATCATTCAATCAATCAGTGAGTCAGTCAGTGAGTCAGTCAGTGAGTCAGTCATTGAGTCAGTCAGTGAGTCAGTGAGTCAGTCAGTGAGTCAGTGAGTCAGTGAGTCAGTTGGTTGGCAGGTCGGTCAGTCGGGTGGGTGGGCAGTCGGGCGGGCGGTCAGTCAGTCAGTTGGTCAGTCGGTCAGTCAATCCAAACTTCATCTAGCGTACTGATTTACCTTCTTAATGAAATGCTTGTAGCCCTCAAGAAGTTCATCATTTTCTTTCAGACCAGCCATCATCTGCCAGACTTGTCCTCGGAGAGGACCAGGTATGCCCTGAAATTTATACCAAGAGAAAACAGAATGTAGGATCACCTGGGTGTACTGCAAGACATTCACTTCAAAAGCGTCTTATGTTAATTCAGAATCTGGCAGAGAGCGTTGAGTTCCCATGACCAAATGCGCTAGAGGGTAGCAGATTACTGCAATTTTTGCAACTCAAAATTTTCTCAGCTTCTGAGTATAATATTTTAACTAACTGAAATATTTTAACTAGTTTTTGCTGTATGTTCTACAATTTTAAACTACTTTAACTGTGGTATTGCTACATGTATGATCAGTTTCTGAATATATCTCACCTTATTTTCATATTTAAATTTTTTATATACAAGTAGTATCGTAAACCACGTTTTAGACCCAGATGTTTAAATAAAGTCAGTCAGCCAAAATGGCAACAAAGTGTTGTATGAAGCAAGCACATTTGACTTTTTTTAAAATAAATTTCAGCAGGCGCTAAAATGAATCAATAAAAAATAAAATAAATAAATAAATAAATATACATTTATATAGCGCCATTTTCCACTAATTGTCCATGGCGCTTTACAATACTTTAAAATTAAAATCCTA